CCCAATTCACGAGGGATAGTGTGTTGTAGGTAAAGGTGGACAGAGTTTGTGTGGGCAGGACATCCGGAGTTGGATAAATAAATATAGGATCAAATTAGACTATTCTGACATCCTTAGTGAATTCGAATTTGAATTGAATATGATCCATTTTGCATCCCTACTTGATAGAGTGTGGTGTGGTTCTTGTTATGTAGTTTCAACCATTGCCATAATGGGCCCAATGGATTGAAATCACCCACACTTTATTAATCCACAAAACCAAATAACCCCTTAATCATAATCAGATTGAATTGGATTCGGATACTATTTCCGTTAAGATACGATCCTATCTATGCTAACATGTGGAGAATTGTTCATGCTACCATCTATCAACCCACTTATGACCACACAACCCCTTATAATGACGTGTTCCCGTAGCATATAGAATGAACAATGTTTTAATACCATAGTATAATATTTTTTAGTATAAAAAATATAGAACTAATTTGGATTTGGTATTTATATAAATTCATATTTGATTTATAATCTTTTTATTTTATATTAATTTGTACTAATATTATATAAATTTATTGATATTTTACTCGAATTGAATGTCTAGATATAAAATAAGGTACCATTCGGCAAATCTTTTTAGGAAGATCTTTCAACAACCTAAATGGCTAAAAGATATAATGAGCTTTTGGGGTCTTGTCTTTAAAGATCTAAACTGTTTGTTAAGTATTTTTGTCTACCATGATTTACAGAGTTATTAAATGAAAGATTTTAAGCGTAGAAAGACAATCAGTTTCATTTGAAGCTTCCACATTTTTTGCCATTTTTGGGCTTCCATGAACTTTTTAGGGCATAGGCCTTTTTGGATTCGTTTGTTTCATTGCCAAATAGAAAATTACCAAAATTTGATCTTCTTTCAAGCTTTAAAAAGCCCAAAAGATTTGTCAAATGCCTCCAAAATCAAAATCAAAACTAAATTCTACATATATTGGATTGAATTTGGATACTTTAGGATTGGATTCAGATATACCCCTACCCAAATTCGACCAAATCCTTTTGCATTTTGTAGTAGAAAAAAAAAAACTTAGATTGAAATTAAATAAAATGGATTGTTTTCAATAGATTTTTTTTTTATAAAAAAATGAGTTACATTAAGCAAATGATGTCATTTATTCGTTTTAACATAGACATAAGGCATGAAATTAAATCCTGTTGGCATTAAGATTGGGCGTTAAGGGAATCAACTAACCCCTGTTGTGTTGCCCTATCTAATAACTATATATTAAAATAAGGATGGCCACGCCAGATGGCCTCTCCTTGCTTCATTACCCCAACCTTGCAATTCTAGAGGGGATGTGTTATTCCTTTTCAAAGCCTTTGGAGTTCCCACCTCAACATGGCAATCTCTCTAATTTTTACAAACAATCAATAGTAAATAAAAGAAAGTTGTTTTTATGATGTCTACTATAACAAAATTATGTAATAACTTTAAAATCTTTATTAAAAATATAAAAAATAATTATAATAGATTTAATAATATTTAGACTATTAATAGTTTTACATTTTTATGGAATTTATAACAAAATTATGTAATAACAGTATAAATTATAATTTTGTGAATTATTCAATTTAATAGTAAAATTATTTAAATGTTATTTAAAAAATAAAATAAATTAACAACTTAAAGTATTATTTAAATATTTAAAATATTAAACACAGCTAAATAATTATATAACAAAATATTTAATATTATATAATAACTTTAAAATGAATAAAATATAAATGACAAAAGATTTTAAATATTTTAAATATTATTTCAATATTTAAATAAAAATTACTTAAATTTTATTTAAATAATAAAAATTTAAGATATTTAAAAATTTTAAAATATTATTTGAATATTTCAACAACAAAATGTTTTAAATAACGGAATATTAAAAATAGCTAAATAATATATAACAAAATATTTAATATTATATAATAACTTTAAAATAAATAAAACTTAAATGAAAAACTTTAAATATTTTAAGTATTATTACAATATTTAAATAACTAAATATTTTAAATATTTCAAATATTGCAAATTTGATAACTAAATCATATTTTAAATATTGTTTAAAAAATAAAAAAAATATTAAATAAAGAAATTATGTAATAACTTAAAAAAGTTAGCAAAAACAAAAATAATTATAATAGACTTAATATTACTTGATAATAAGAATATAAAATATAAATAATTTAAAAAGTTTAAGTATTATTGAACTATTGGGAAATATATTAAATAATTTAGAGGCATTGAAGCTTCCAAATAAAAAAGAAAATATGTAATAAGGATAAAATATATTTTTAGCAGATATTAAAAATATAATAATAATTGCAATTACTAATGTACTAATAATAAAATCATTGTTTCACTTATATCAATTAATAATTCTATAAAATGATTTCAGAAAAATTAGTATTTATTAATAATAATTATAAAATCTTATCTATATCCATTATATATTTATATATAATAAAATTCATATTTTTTTATTTTTAGTAATGATTTATTGTATTTTTGTGATAAATATATTTTCAATAATTACATATAAATCTATTTTATTTTTGTTATTTAATAGTAAAATTTCAATAATCATTGGAGATTAAACTATTGTTATTGAAGTTTTTGAAATTTAATTTATTGTCCTTATTGGATTTATTGCATTTTTGTTATAAATTTGTTTTTAGTAATTATGTATTTTCGTTATAATTTATTGGTTAATATTTATTAGAGATTAAACTATTATTGGAGATTACAATATTTATAGATTAATCTAATATAACTTTACCATTTACTGTATTTTAGAATTATTGTATTTTTATTATAATTTTATCTATAATTATGCATTTTTATTATATTTTTTAATAATTATTGGAGATTAAACTACTGTTATTTATGAGAGATTTGACTATTTATTTAACTCAACTTAATTATTATTACTTGCATTGTAAAAAATTATTAAAAATAGTATATAAAACATAAAAATATTAATAATTTAAAATTAAAATATAAAAATTATATACTCTTATGTGTGTGTGTGTATATACATATATATGTATGTACGTATATGTATGTATATGTATTTGTCAATGTATATGTATATATTAAAATGATTATAAATAATTATCAATTATAATTACTAACAATAACTGATTATAATTACTAACTATTACTGACTATAAATACCAAACCCAGTTTTATTTATAAACCCAGTTTAGATAAATATTGTTATCTATTTATTTTAACCCGGTTTTAATAATTACTGATTGTTACAGTAATTTCATAAATATATAATTAGTCATTACAATTAATAATTACTGTTATTATAAATATTTTAATAAATAGATATTTACTTTAATTTTAATTTAAATTAAAATTATAAATACTGTTAATAAATTTAGTAATTATTGTTATATTAAAAATAATTAAAAATGTTATTAACAATATTTTTATTTATTATTTAATAAAATATTATGATTAGTGACTATTACTGATAAATATTGTTAATTTGATTTAATTTTGGTAATTATTAATTTAATGAGTATTGTTAATAAATCCTATTCATAAATTTAATAATTATTGCTATATTAAAAATAACTAAATAATATTATTAAAACTATCATTACTGATTATTTAATAAAATATTATAATTACTTACTATTATTGATAAATATTGTTAATAATTAAATATTTAATAAATAATGTTAACAAAAATCAGCAAAAGTAATGTTTGTCTTTTTGCTTATTGAATTTCTTTGGTTTAAATTTTTGGGTTTTGTGCTTTGAAGATTGTTACATAATGTTAGTTAAAAATGCTATTGGTTTAGAGGGGCCAATATAAGGCCTAGCTACCCTCTGAACCAGTGGTAGACCCAACACAACCCCTGTAGGGGCGTATCAAGAAGCCACTAGCACGATACATTTTGGCTGATATGTGTCAATACTTTGAATTGAATTGCTTTGGTTTACATTTATAGATTTTGTGCTTTGAAGATTGTTACATATTGTAAGTTAAAAATATTGCTATTTGATTTTTTTTTTTGAAACTTGATAATTGTTATACCTAAAATTGTCAAATAATTATAAAAATTATCAAATATAAATAAAAAGAAATTACCATTATTAGACATAAAATTACCAATATTTATAAAAAAATTTACTAAAAATAAATCAAAAAGAAATTATCACAAATTAGTAGACTTTAGGATGATAATTACTTGAAATTATCAAATAATATAATCCTAAATACATTAAAATAATTTGCCAAAAATTATCATAAATTAGTAGAAATGTCCAAATATAGTCACTAAATTCCATAAAATCGATAAATTACTAGAATTTATCAACAAGCTATCATATAATAAATATAGTACATTAGTATATATTTACCAAGAAATTAGTATATAATAGAAATTACCAAAAATTAGTAGAAATTATATAATAGAACTAATTTCCACTAATTGACCAATAAATTATCATATAATAAGTATAAAAGATAAGTATATATTGACCAAGAATTCTCATAAATTAGTATAATAGAAATTACCAGAAATTACTAGAACTTAACCAAAAATAACCACTGATTTCCATAAAAATATTATATTTACCAAGAATTATCATAAATTATTATATAATAGAAGTTGCTAGAAATTAGTAGAAGTTAGGGAAAACAACCATTAATTTCCATAAAATATGATAAAATAGATGAAATTAGTATAATTTTGTAAAAATAACCATTAAATTCTAAAAGTTAGTAAAACTTAAGATGATAATTACTTTAAATTATCAAATAATATGAATCTAAATAAATTACAATAATTATAATAATTTATCAAAAATTACATTTCGTTTTCTCGTACATCGCACGGATCCCCGCTAGTTATGTTAATAGAAAGCACTAGCAGCTTGGAAATGCAGTGCCCTTGAAAATGAAATAAAAGGTGAAAGTGAATAAGTCATAAAAAATAAAACAGAAATAAAAGGGGAAGTCATCGGCATTAAAGTGAGAGAGCGGGGCAACAGGGAAGAAGCAATACAACCAAAGACTACACAAAAGCCAGACACAGCCATCTGGGAGCAGGAGGGGAGCCATGGCCAGCGAAGAAGAGAGCGCGGTGAAGGAGCCTCTCGATCTCATCAGACTCAGCCTCGACGAAAGAATCTATGTTAAACTTCGCTCCGACAGAGAACTCAGGGGAAAACTGCACGTACAGTCCAATCTCTTCTTCTTCTTCTTCTTCTTCTTCTTCTTTAGATTTGTTGTTTATCTGTTTATACACCTCTTCTTGGTGATGGGTTCTGTTTTCATTCGTTTCTTTTCGCTGTCTGCATCGAAAATTTCTGCTTCTTAAGGAAACCCTTCAAATGAGTTTATCTTTCTCTTGCATTTTGTGGGTTTTATTTCCTCTTTTTCTTTTTTGGGGTGGGGGAGGAGTGGTCTTTTCGTTCGGTTATGTGTGTTCTTCCATGAGGGTGACTCTCCTGTTCTCGTTAGTTATCAAGCTTTTAACTTGTTACGTGCTTAGGGTTTATTCTGATGACTGATGAGAGGGGTGGTTGACTGGTTGTTGAGTTTCTCTATAAGCTTTTCTTTGTGGGCTAACGGTTTGTTTGCATTTTGCGGTTGCTTTTGGCTGTTTTAGCCCCAATAGGTTTTTATGCGTCTCTATGTGCTTATCTTGGAAGGGAACTCCTTGATGCCGTATGCCCAATGGGTTTATTGTTTCTGTTTTTTTTTTTTTTTTGGTTATGGTGAAAAAACTTGTAAAACGTACAACACCCTCAATTGAGCAAAGGCAAATCGTTGTCTGCAATCATGGTTTCTAACTGAACAACTGGTAATTGCAAGCTGTTTGTGCAGTGTCCAATCTGTTACCCTTTTTGTGTCTTTTTTAAGAAACAGTGCATTTACATAGAAAGAAAGTAGTTGAATATGGTGCCTCGCTTGTCATAATTAGGTGGGTTGACAAGTGAAGGATTTGGTAATAAGAAAATTGAACAGGTGAGCTGCTTGCAAGTTGCAAGATTAGTTAAGAGGCTGTAGGATCTTTTTTTTTTTTTTTTCTCTTCTTTCTCTTTTTCTTCGTGTTTTTATCAGCGACAATTTTTGGGTCGTAGGACTTGGGATTTTCTCTTTCACAAAAAAAGTCTTATGATTTAAAGGATAATCAACACCTTGCAACTAATGGGTTTCTAGTCTAACCACTAGCACGGCTATGCTAATTTTTACATTGTGCAATAGGAGCTTATCAGTATTATTAGGTGCTAAAAATTAGGGATATCCTCTAGGGTTGGAGAAAGGGTGAATATTGAATTATTCCTAGTGGCTAAACCACCTTCCAATGCATCTTCTGGATTATCTTTTCAAGATTGATGTGGGAAAATGTTATGCATTTTTTGAAGCTTCAATTAAACAATCACTCTTCTTTTTATTGTAGTTGTGCACATTGCAAAAGCTAAAGTGATAGTAGTGTAGATAATTTATGAGCTTGGCACTGACCTGGTGTTTTGGAGTCCCTTTCACCTAGGAAACCAACTAGAATGGGTCCTATAAAAACATTTTAGTGGGGGCAAACAAATAATTATGTATTTTTAAATCAATAACATGATCAATGGATTCTATTAATTCTCAAGAAAGAAAGATGAGTACATTTCTTTGCACTCAAGGAGTGGGAGACATCCTCCACTTAGGGATACCCCTCCATTTAGCCCATCCCTTCCTAATTTTATGGGTGACATCCTCCACTGAAATTTCTTATGGCAAATTTCAGAAAATAATCCGTCCTTGTTTAGAGATCGGCTTCAGTCAGTGCATGGCCCGTTAGAACACCATTCGAGCAGCCTTTACATCCTTGCATCAGGAATATCTCCGTACTTCTGTGTTTTATTTCATGGGGAGATATTTCCAATGCAAGGCTATGATGACTGTTCAAACGGGCTTTGCACTGACTGAATCCGGTTTCCCTTGTTTAGTATCCTGTAAGCTAAGTAATTTTACTTTCAAGGCAAGTGACCCTTATACATACCAAGATAAAACTTAAATTAGAATCTATGAGTACCATTCCACTAAAAAAAATCTATGAGTACCATAGACTGAACCATTGTACTTCTGGATGCAAGCTGCTTTTAATTTTGATAGCATCTATACATATGCTTTCATTCTCTCTATATGCTTGATATGTATGGTTCTTCCTTGACTTTTAATAGCCATTGCCTTTGATGCTTTGATTATCTTGTTTTGCAGGCATATGATCAGCACTTGAATATGATACTAGGGGATGTTGAAGAAATCATTACTACAGTTGAAATTGATGATGAGACTTATGAAGAGATTGTTCGGGTATAACAATATGCACTACTTGTTATTTTTATGTTAATATATTTTAGGCAATTTCTGGCATGCTTGGAGTCAATTATGGTGATTCTCATGTTCTTGATGATATTTGAGCTTGGATATGCCAATATCACCAGAATTACCTCCTTTTTCAACTCAAATTCATCCTCAGGCATTCTCATCTAGAGCTGAAAAATTAGCATCAGATAAGGTTCGTTTATGCCTCAGAGCTCAGAATATTCATTTCTGAAGCAGGATGGATGCCAAATGCCCCACTTTTTTTCTAGCTGATAAATAAAACTGATTATTCAGTCTAACCGAACAAATCATAAATAAAGCAGGATGTGTCAAATTGATCCTCAGGTATTCTCATGTTTAACTGAACAAGTAGATGGCAAATAAATAACACTTGGGAGGAAAAGGAGAAGAAATTATTCACTTTCACATGGGTTTAAAGATAAAATCAACCTTTCTCCTACACATGCTTCTGTAAGAAAAAAGAAAGAAAAACTTCCATTAGAAACTGAGTTCCCCGTGGAACTGTTATTTATTTTTAATTGATCACAAAACCTCTTGAAACCAGCCCCACCGGCCACCTCCATTGAACTATTTGTCAGCACTTGGTATGCTTCCCCACTCTCCCACCAAAAAAAGGTTGAGAGAAAAATCACCCTGACGAGTATTGAGAAAGGAGACATTAAAAAAATAGCAGCTTCTCCCAAAGCCAAAGGGACAAGTTATTATTGCCTGAATGAGAAAAAATAAAGAAATTTACCAGGATTCAGGAAGAAGATAGAAGCTTCCCAAAGGGAGAAATGTTATGAACCCAGAAGGAAATTAAAGTTGGTTTTGAGAGAGGTAGGATGTTAGATGTTAATTAAATAAGCCTCAGAAACAAACCAGATTCATAGGCAAGAATTAGGTGTTGTGTACTGTATTGAAATTTGTATCAGATTTATTTTCTTCCCCTTGCGACCCTTGCAATCTTAATTCCCTTTCTCCAGCTCTGACCTTTTTGATACGACTTGTTTTATTTCAGACTACAAGGCGCACGGTTCCATTTCTCTTTGTGAGAGGAGATGGTGTGATATTAGTTTCTCCACCGCTAAGAACTGCTTGATAAGGAGCGCTTGGTGTGCACTTTGTTTTCAGTTGGGAACTCTCTCAGAAACTATGTTCATGTTAAGCTGATGAATGAGGATAGAAATGAAATTCAGTTGGTTTTCCTGATTGTGCATTATCAATTTATCATTGCCTTGTCCAATCTATATGCTGATATCATTTACTCCTGGAGAAATATATAAAGATGGACTGCATCTATCATCCGTTCATCCTTGCCTTGGATGACTACTGAAGTATCATCAATTTGAATCATTGCATGGGCTTATCCTCTTATTCAATAGAATACGTCTCAGAAACTGTACTTGTATTGTTTACCATGATCATGATCTAACGATCTGTGTAGGATTAGACACCGTCTACAGTTGTCTTGTGTATTTTATTTTTAATAAATAATACAGACTACGCAGTGAAGTAAAAGGGAAACAAGAGAGTTCCATTGACCTGGGAGCAAATCTCACCTTCACCCTCTATTCAATGAGCGAGATGTTTGTTGAAAAATCACTCATCCCAGTCAAATTGAGTGAGAGATCTCCTTTTTTAAATGGTGGCCCGGAGTGAAGTGAAAACTGTTCGTAGGCTTAATCCAAGAATTAGGAAATAATTGTATGGTCTGACGTTTAAGACCATCAGAGAAGAATTCAGGCAATTCAGTGCTAGTCTGCAACCTTGGCTTGGAAGATGATAGCAGCGAATGAGAGATGAATAACTCATTGGTGGATTGGCACATTAGTCTGACCGGCTGGTATGTATTCTCTCATCTTCTCATAGGTTCTTCGACTCTGTTTGCGGTGCAAATTATTTGACTCAGGTTTTACCTTGCAAATGTATCGCAGAAAATAAAACCCAAAACAAAAGTAAAATCAGAATTTGCTCTCAATTCATTTACACTCGTACTCACAATTCATGTTTAAAACAATTTACGTTGGCCCGTTAATAGCCAATCTCATAATATAATTAACGAATATTTTATTTAAAGTCCACTGCGGTGTATTAACGAATATTTGTGATACGTTTAGATTTTGAGTGCAGATTTGGCAATAACATACCTCATATATTAGCCATCACTCCAAATAGTGAATTAGAGAACGATACATCAACAAAATCAGGAAAATATAGTCAGCCCAGTGTATCGTTTCCTCTCCGCAGAAGTGAGCTCATCATCTTCAACTTTTTTTTGACTGAAAACTATTGTGGAAGCTTAAAATCCCTTACCGTTTTCAATTATTTATATGGAAATTTTTATGGGAAGGGCTACCAATTAAGGACAAAAGTCATCATTGTCTATCTCTATCAGATTTAACTTGTGTGTTGTGCTCAAGTGAAACAGAATCTTTTCATCACCTATTCTTCCACCGTCATTTCACCAAAGTAATTTGGTGCTCAGCTCAGGTTGGACTAAATCCAGACAAAATAACCGACCAGCCAGTCCATATAATTCTTTTGGATTAGTATCAGAAGTTCAAGATTTCATATTAAAAAACAGAAGCCTTGGAATTCTTTAGGAGATGGTGTATTTTATTCTATCTCATTTGGAATGCTAGAAACAAAAAATATTTTTGATAATTTCACATACACCCTTCATGAAATACTAAAAAAGTGGAGAACTTATTAAAATTTAAATTGGCAACAATTAACAATACTTGGGAAGTATTGCTGATGTTCAGTGTCCAGACAATCCCCCTTGAGGAGTGGCTACACTACAAATTGATGGTTCATATAATCCTTTAAAGGGAAGTGTAGGACAAGCTTTCATCTTTCAACGGTCGTCAAGAGACAAAGCCATCTTTGAAGGAAAACCGTGCTGGGCCATCAGTCCTTATGATGCTGAATTAAGGGCTTTAATTGCTGGTTTAGAGGTAGTTTCAACACAAGTAGTAGATATAGTAGCAATTTACAGTGACTCAAAGCAGCTTATATCTTTTTTGCAGAATATGTCAAAGCCTAGCCTTTGGATTGAAAATCTCCATCAGCCGCGGATTGCAAAACTTTTGAATGTTTTCACGAAGTTTTTTTTTTTTTTTTTTTGATATATCATATATGTAATTAGATCTAACAACCAAGGTGCTCATACTTTAGCGTATGTAGCTTGTAAGGCAGCAATATCAGTAGCATCTAATCCAGACAGTAACTTGTATGTAAATATTAGCCCTATAAATGAATGAGAATCTGCCTCTTTTACGTACGGCTGTAATTGTTATTGGAACTGTATTAGGATCAAGGTTCAAAGTATCGACACATCTCGGCTCATATCAGCTGATACGTATCATGCTGGTGGCTTCTCGATACACCTCTACAGGGGTTGTATTGAGTCAGTCATTGGTTCAGAGGGTAGATGGGCCTTAAACTGGCCCCCTAAAACAATTTCAAAAAAAAAATAAGTAAAACATAAATAAAAAAGCACAAGCACATGCCGATACTGGCCCGTGTTAATATTTAAAACCTTGATTGGGATCAAGTTTGAATAATCTAAAAATGCCACGTGGTTTATTTATTTTTATCGATTCATATTACACAGTGTATAATGGCTTATTTATTTTTTATCGATTCATTTATGTCAAACAAGCTGTTGGGGCCTTGAAGACTTAATTTCATTGATTTACCCCAACATTTCACAAGTTATCGGGTCCGTGTGTTGGGACCAGATCCTGACAATTTTAAATTTGTCATATAATTTACTTATTTTTTATTAATTCATATGTTATAAAATATAATTACTATAAGCAATATTAAAGTATCTTTTTAGGTTCATCTTTTTTCCTTCAAGATGCGTTCATGCACCATAAATTCTACCTTTCTAAGGCGTTTTTAATTTTAGTCATCATAACAAGTTAAAAATAAATAAATAAATAAGCATTGCAAGAAAAATTTCTTATTGGGATTTTTCATCACCCTTTTTGGCTGTGTTTGGTATCGTGGGCATTTATTGAAAAAATGTCATCACATCAATGTCATATAGGTATTGGTGTTTATTGCATATAAAACAATATGAAATAATCGTTTGGTTTCACAGTTTATCAAATAAATGGTAGAAAACTGAAATGCTTTCATTTTTATACATGGGATATTTGGGGAAATGTCAAATTTTTATTTCCCCCAATGCTCCAACGCTTCTTGAAACCAAATGCTGATGTAACACACTTTAATGAATATTAATTTGAGGTGAAAAGTAAAAAACGTTTAAAGTGATGCTTGACCAAACAACAAAAACAGGAAACTTTTAAAGTGAAAAAAATACAAATAAACGTTTAAAGTGAAAAAGTAGAAATAAACGACCAATCCATAAACGCCCATAGAGCCAAACACATACTTTATCATCTTCTTTTTTAATAAATTTTATTTTATTAAAAAACTTCTTAGTCTATTTTATTTTTTAATAGGAATCAAAATTAGAATAAACTGAAATGGGATTCCATTCCCCTCGGAAGGAGAAGGAATAAACATTCCTTTCCCTCAAATGGGAGAAATGCCATTCCAGCAAGAATGGAAATGGGATTCCAATTCAATTAAACCAAACAGTTGGACCCATTCCCATTTTGATTGAGTTGCGATCACTTGCCAACAAAACATGTTTTAACACCTAACCAATTTGATCCAAGGTTCCAACTATCGATGCGTATCATGCCGATGGCTTCTCAATACGCCCCTCTAGGGGTTGTATTGGGTTAGACACTGGTTCAGAGGGTAGTCGGGGCCTTAAACTGACCCCTCTGAACCAGTTTCAAAAAAAAATAAAACCTAAAAAAAATTACTGATACAAGCCTGTATCGATACTTTAAACCTTAACTTGATCTGACACCACACATCTCACTATAAAACTAGGGCCCACCATTAAAATTGGATCCATCATATATGATATGTGCAATGTAACGTATTTTGTTGGTAGGCGATTCGGATTTTATATCCCTATTCCTGTAAATCAAATGGGCTTTTAGGAAATCCAGATCTACTCCTCACATAGTGCTCCTAACACCAACCTCACATCATGTTCGAGACGCAGATTGGGAACATCTCCTGAAAAGTTATTTTTCGTGGGAGATGTTCCCAATATTGTGAGGCCGGTGTGAGGGGTGATCTGTGTAGAGCAGATCCCAAATTCGCCTTTAGGCTGTCTATGCGAGTAAGCAGTAGAGTCGATGTATTGTCAATTTGTCATTTGCCACGGGTCCCATCTTTGCCATCTTTGCTTGCAGCGTTGTAGGGTGGAGAATTTGGAGAGTTGCTTAAAAGCGCACTTTGGTTGCATTATTCGTTATCTACGAATATTCCGGACCTTTTTATTTTTGGTGGTGTTCGAGTTTCAGAAACTAGCCTCGGTCACTCGGTTACTTGTTTCTTCTTTATCGTCAACGGGGAGATGGGAGTTACCAAGGAGCAGGTTGAAGCTTCTCTGACATCAAAGATGAATCCTTCTCATCTTGTAAGCTCAATCTCTTCTATGCTTTTGCATTCTTTCCTCTTTCTGAGGCGTTTGTGTATAGATTGTATTTTTGCTACCAAATGATAGTTTGAGCTTTCTGGTTGTTTCCCTCTGAATCTCAGTTTAGTCGCTAAAAAAAAAAACAAAGATAAAAAGAACAGACCAAATATATGAGATGAAAATTGATATGGGTGTTTTCGAGGTATCAAGTGTTTGATTCAAATAAATTGGTGGAATAGAAGGTGAAAAGGGTTTGAGGAATTATTTTGTGGGTAAGGAAGGAATTTGTCAGTGCCGATAGTTATGTTGAAAAGATAGAAGAAGAAATTCTATGATCAAGTTACACAGGGATGAAATCTTGTTGGTTGGAAATTGAATTAGAGAAAGAATTTAATTGATTCTATACTGGATATTTGCCGAACTGGCGTTAGTAATACCTAAATAGATCATGCTGCTTGTTTGAACTCGTAAGTTCTCCGTAGTTACTCTTTGATAAATAACAGAAATATTTCATTAATGTATAACTCCACACTGCCCACAAATGTGGACAGCAGGCCAAGGGAGTTCAAAGCAAGCTCCAAAAATATATGGAGCGGAAAGATATAGCTATAGATATTTGGCCCTGGCTAATTAGTCTGCCAAAGCATTTGCACTTCTAGTTCTAGGTACCCATTTGAATGAGCTATTCAAGATAGTACCTAGAATTTGTGCTTGTCTGACGAACAGCCTGAACTTCCAAGGGATCTCCTTTTGTGATCTCATCCAGTAGATTATGGTTTTTCAATCTCCCTCCGCCTCCACATTCCTCATTTCCATCATGGTCATCAACTGTAGTCCCTGAATCAAGTGTAGTTCAGTCGTTGAAGAGTTACCATATCCAATTGGGCCCAAAAACTCAGCAGAATAATACCATTATAGTCCCTAATTGCCCCTCCAACTCCTGGATTTTCAAGGCAGCACCTGTCAAAATTAAATTTAAGGTTGCCCATAGCTGGAGCTATCAAGTGTTCCACCCTTTGTTGTCTACTAGCTTGGTATCCAGCAAGGATTTGCCACCCCCATAGAAGGTCGTTTAGTGAAACACATCTGAAATCCTCACATGTCAGAGCCCAATGAGCAACTCTTACCATAATGAGATCTATCAGCTCCTCAACACTCCTTCATTTCTCTTCAAATATTCTTGTGTTTATTTCATTCCACAATCCCCATAACACTGCTGCCTGCAGATACTTTTTCTAAAAGTTCCCTTTCCCTCTTAATTATTTAAACTAGCTTTAATTGCAGAACTTGACTAGGGTTGCCCCAGTATTAGGGGTGAGCATTTGATATATTCAATTAAAAACTGAACTGAATAAACCGAAACCAAATTAAGCAAACCCCTTATAAGGAAAACCGAACCAAAAACTGAAATAGCCTAAAACCGAATTTCATTATAATATATTACATATATTAATATAATATAGATTATGCATATAATGAAATTTGATTAAATTTTTTTTTTCTGATTAACCAAATTTTCAATTCTGAAAACTGAATCCGAAAGAACTGAAGCCAAAATTTTCGGTTTTAACCAAATAATGCTCACCCCCACCCAGTATCTTTTAATGGTATTTTGTCAATTGAGGGAAGGATTTAATTTACTGAGTAGATTTTTAGTTTTTATGGTTTATAATATATTGGTTTTAATGAAAGGGGTTTTAGCTAATGTCTTAATTTTATATGGAGCCAAATCTCAGACATCCTTAGTTTGCCTTATTTATTGCTGTACTATTTATTTTTTTAATTGCTAAGATAAAGATAATTAAAATTATATACTGGAACTTTTGTCCTTACACATGCCTGGTATACTACTTTTAAACACAATACATTCTGGATACAATACCAGATGCTGCATGGACACTTCTAAAGTTCCCTTTATAATATTAAGTTAACACTTTCATAGTATATAATTTAGTACATTTTAACAAGCCATACTGTAAAAGATCTATATATGCTAGGATTAAGTAAATTTGACAAGACATTAATATTTGAGAAATAACACTTAAACATTAAAAACTAGACATGATTTAAGGATAGGGAGATACTAATACTTGTGTCCATGTCTGGGATCTTAGGAGAGTCTCACTTCCATTTCCTGTATTAGTGTCCGTGCTAGTATTTGTATCTGGACATCATAGGTATTTGGAATATCTATATTCCTTTTTGTATCAATGAGTGAGGCTGCACCTCGTGCCTCATATTGGGATGCTTGTAACAAACTATTTATCATTCGCTTCTAATGAAATCAATTAAATTTTATCTATCAAAAAAAATATATCTGTTTTCCTTTTTTTTTTTTAAATAAGGTAAATTTGTATTAATCTAGTCAAAAGGAAGTATACAAGTGTGATAGTTCACTGTACAACAAGATTCTGTACATGTGAACACCATTAAGAGCCTCCAAAAAGTGAATATTCAAAAAACAAGAGAGGCATCATCCTTGAAGTGCGGATTAATGCTCAACCATGCTCTTAGGCTTCCAAAGATCTGAAAAACACCCAAGTTAGCCCAAGCCTAGGTGATTTCTGAACAATGTTGGTTGATAAGAACAAAAACATGTTATATATTGTATTCAATAAAAAATGGCATCCCAGTGACAAGGCTCCCACCAATGTGGGGTCTGGGAAGGGACAGATGTATACAGCATTACCCCTGCATATATACAGAGGAAGGTCTGGGGGGGATATGTATACATATCTTATTTTAAAACAATGCTGGTGTGTATCAATGCGTGTATAACTGTATATACATTTTTATTATTAGAATGCAATTAGTATGGTTGTGGTCTACCTAGGTGGTCATTGTTTAGCCCTGATAGAGTGGGCCTGGTAGGTGCATATGCATTGCAAGCGAAACCTAGATGACAAGTTGACCCACCTTACTAATACAAGCGGTATAGTAGATATGTGATGTTTCAGTGGATTTACCTGGCAATGGATCTGCTCCTGCTATCAGAGGCTAAGGCAAATCATGTTCAAGTAGAAGTTAAAGAAAATTTCCTTTTACAGAAGAATTCTGGGAGAGAGAAGTGATGGACCATTTAGGTGGTATTTGGCAATGTTGTCATATGAAGATATTTTTCTCAAGAATAAATGCTCCATGTAATTAATGAGTTTTCACTATTCTCAGTTCTCTCTATCTGAAAACAGTGAAAACCCAATTTTCTTTCTCGTCTTTTTTATTTTCAGGATTAGGTCCCATATTATGTCAGTAAAACTAAGCAAAATAGATAAAAAGTGACCCCACTGGGATGGCAAATTGATTTCAATTTTTAAAAGTTTCTTTTCACTTTTGAAAGCAAGGTTGTTTTTACTAGTAACCATATGAATTTATATTAATCAAGGTAGAAAAAATATGTCCTATCATTTCAGACCATTTTGAAATGGTGGCTAAAGGTAGAGAAGCACTTAAACAGAAAACATAAATAATGAGCAAGAAGACAAGAGAACAAAACCCAAAAAATAACAGTTACAGCTTAGTTCCTGGTACTATGTCAATCCAATAATAAAGATCCTCTCTGCCAACTCCACATCTTGCTAATGCATCTGCCTTATCATTTGCTGATCTGGAAACCTTTCTGAATGGGAAATTCAGATTAGTTGCAAGAAAACAAGGAGTATTCCTTCCTAAATTTCCATAATTTGAAATCAAAATCTTGATTATAGAATGTGTTCTTGTAATTTGTAGCAGATTGTTGCAGGTAACAACCATAACAAAGAAAACAGGAAGTGATAACAATGGTAAACATGCCCTTAATTCCTAACAAGGGTGAGAAAGTCTTAGGTGATGTCTCCCCCAAGCCTGAAATTGTTAAGGTTATCTAAATAGATTGAACTGTTAAATTAGATAATTAATTACTGATAGAGGTTGTAGTGGATTGCACAATAAAAGTGGTGAGATCACTGTCTATTTTTCTCAAAACATAAAGATTGTGCAAATTCCATTTGCCAAGAGTTAGACTCTAAATGGCATCTCGCTAAGCAGTCCTGGATGTGAATGAATCCACTGGATAGAGACAAGGTTCAAAGTATCAATATGCCCGTGTATCAGCAGAGGCATATCGGTACTAAAAAGCATGCGCTTTTTTATTTTTTTTTAGTTTTATTTTTCAAAAATTGGTTTTTGGGTAGGTTTTTATATATAGTTATTAAAAAAAGAGGGTTCCCGAAATGTTTACAGGTGTTTCAGAACCCAAAAGATACGATACATAATGAAGTTGATTTGGAAAAAGTGCAGTTGTGGAGAATTTGGATTGGAAGCTAATTCCGTGTAGGGTTCTTTGTTTGATGTGATTTTTGGCATGCTTTCTTTGATTGGTACATCTGTGTATTGGCAAATTTATATGGGGCTTCATGTATTAGGTTCTATGTTACCCTAATGTGGCAAGGACACGGCTGGTTACAGTATCAGATAAAAAATTTGCACTATAAATTGAAGTATCCCACACGATATGCCACCCTTGTACAGGTACCCATGTATCATAGATAGGATTTGGGGTTTCTAGGGTGGCTTCTTTTTGTTGCTCCTCTTGCCTTGTCTTTCTTTTTTCTGGGCAGGGCTATTTCGCTCCTTTTGCCTCATATATGGCTTTTCCTGTTTTTAATATACTTCTTGTTTTGCTATTACCTCCCCAAATAAATAAATAAATAAATAAAAGGTCTGGCAGAGAATTTCTTTTTTGTGATAACTTTTTCAGTTCGCAAATACCTACAGAGCCAAGAGTGACTGTTTAATATATTCCTCTCATTTTAATGAGAATTGTGTTTTTTCTTTTATATGTTTTTTGTGTTTTATCCTCTTGCTTGCCTATCTATTGTATGCACCATTATTGTGAGGAGAATAGCATCACTTTATGTCATTGTAAAGCCCGAGGATTTATTTATTTTTTCCATTGTTAAGCAAAGCTCATGTTTTTTTGTGTGGGGGGAGGGATACATTAAAAGAACCAAATAATTTTTAGGGTAAATTACAAAGACCCCCCTATACTTTAATTTGTGACAAAGACCCCCTGAACTTTTACATTGCGACAAATACCCCCTTGGCTGTTAAGTCAGATGATGGAAGGCATTAAATTACCAAAATACCCTACTAAACTTTTTTTATTTTCTTTTTCTTGCCATTTTCTCTTAAAACCTAACTGACCCAAAAATACCTTTGAGCATCGCCGGAAAAGGAAAAAAAATCTTTCTTTGGTGAAAAATCTCCAGTAGTGAGAAATCTGACTTTCTCACCAGTGATCGTTGTTGGAAAAGGAAAAAAATCTCCAGCAAGTTCATTGGTGGCGTCCTCTCTCTCTCTCTCTCTTTCTCCTTAAGTATGAACAGTATAAAGTGTAAAAAAAGTTAAATGATTTCATAAGTTAAAGAAACAAGTAAAATAAATAAAAAAGGGCAGTTTGGGCATTTAAATAATACAGTTAGATGAGAAGTATATGCCTTCTCCATAATTTTTTTTTATTATTTCCTATTTATCTTCTTATCTAATTCCGTCATTTATAGCAGTCATCAAAATGATTATTATTATTAACTTTTGAGATGGGTTTTGCTTACCTTTTCCAAAGTATGAGTTTATAAATATGGAGTAGATTTACAATTAACATGGAGTATTGCTGAAATAAAATTTGACCTGTGGATCAGCTAGGTGCTTGTTTGCTGTTTAGTATTATCACTTCTTCCTCAGTTTCTGCTTAAATTATGGTGCCTGTATTTTCGAAAACTTGTGCTGTCATTAGTTCTTGGTTTCTTATGGCTCTTTAACATTTTTAGCATTACTTGGCACGTTTGGCACATTTATATTCTTTGGCTTATTCTTCTTAAATTAACTTGTTCATTATTTTTTTTTGGTTCAGGAAATAATCGATACATCTGGAGGGTAACATTCTTCTCAGGAACATAAACTTTGATGTACTTTCCTAAGCTTCTTTTCTGTTCATCTTTGAACTGAGTATCTGTTATCAGGTGTGGTGCAAGCTTTGCGATTGAGATAGTATCAGAACAATTTGAAGGGAAGAAGTTGCTGGAGAGGCACCGTATGATAAATTCCGCCCTGGCAGAGGAGATGCAGCACATTCACGCACTCTCCATTAAGAAAGCTCTGACTCCTACGCAATGGAAACAACAACAGGAGTCGATTAGCACTCCACCTTCTTCTCAGTAATTCTCCAGATATTCCTCATACTGTGATACATAAAGACATGTGAATTCTCCAGGAAAATGGAACAAGAATCTAACTTGGTTTCTAATACTTCATATTAATAAGATCATCCCTGAAACCTTGCTATTATAATTGTAGTATGAGCCTGTTATGCTGGTGGTTCTTAATGATGTCCTTTAATTGACTTAAAAATCTTGAGAAGGAGATTATATCCCTCCCATTCGTGAGTAAAATCCATTGGAGAGCAAGCCATGGGGATTTATTGTATAACATATTATAGTCATCCCAACTCCCAAGGTATTAGAATTTAGAAGTTTTAGAATGCACTTGTATCAGAGTATCCATGGGTAAGAGCATGTGGTTAGCAACCGCACATCACAAAGAGTACGATGCAGGATATCGTGCAGAGCTACAAGCATAAGCGATCACAGCTTGCAATCCGAAGTGCACTATGTCATGTATACCCCATGCAAATATGCAATGTCATACACACTTACTTTTAAACAACATGGTTTAAAGTATTGATACGCTTTATACGCACAAACAAACAGGTGTATTGGGGTGTTTCAAACTGGCAATATTTCACAACTTTTTTTTTAGATTTTTTTCAAAATTATTTTAGGTGGTTGGTTTTGGGCATGTTTACCCTCTAAAAGTGGCCAAATTCTCAAAATATCTCTTATTTGGGGTTTCGGAGAGCTACCGACATGATACGATACACCTTGTATTGAGTGTATCGTATTTGTCGAAGTGTTTCACCACTCACCACACCAGGTTCTCAAATCGGAAATCTCAAGACTGGTGTCTAGCCAAATCGTGGGCGGTTAAAACATGTAACGCTGGTGACTTGGGAACAGAAATTGTAACTTGTGTCTTTTTGCACAAATATCAGGAAAGGGTGAGAATCGAAATAGTCCCGACTCCTGATGGCACCAGAACTTTCCAAAGGAAATGGGTCTTCAGGAAAAAATATTATAAATAGGGATCCTGAAGAGGAGAGCTCTGATAGAATCCTCATTCTCCCCTAGTGAGTTCTTGAGGTTATAACTGTTCCTGACGAGGGGTAATTTGGTCGATCAATCACAAGGAGACACGTGGTGAATTTGATTCATCTGACGATACTTCGGCAACATGTGACACAAGACGAATACAGCCTAGACCTGTTCATGGGCCGGGTAGCCTGATGGCCCGGCCCGCACCCCGGTCGGGCTTGGTCATGTAATTAGGCTCGTAGGCCTGACCTCGGGCCTAACATAGTAAGCCCAACTGTGTTTCGGGCCGGGCTCGGGATTTATCAAAAAAGCTCGGCCCGACCCGACTCAACATTATATATTTTATAAAATATATAATATGTAGTTTATATATTATATAAAATATATAAATAATATAATATTTATTAAAATATACATTTATAATTTAATATATACATTTTTTATTTTTTTCTTTATAATCTCTCTCTCTCTCTCTCTCTCTCTATTCAGCCACTAACAGTATGGGCTAAATTTCAGGCTCGGGCCTAGGCCCGGGCTTTGGGCTTTTTATGAGGGTCGGGCTCGGGCCCAAGTTGTAGGCCTGATGGTCGGGCCAGGCCTTAGAAAATTCTGTTAATACAGACTTACAGAATGAAATCCCGGCCCATGAACAAGTCTAATACAACCGAGACAATCCAAACCGATTAGTTTGGCTTGCATCCCAATCTTCGAGAGGCCAATAGGTCTCTCCTCATCTAGGCGACACACCACCTCGGGAAGACAAGCCAAGGACCTCAGAGGTCGGCATGATCTCCCCAACCCAGGCAAATGAAAACCTGAGTAATGAATAGGACTTCTGGGGTACTGACCTATTGACTTACATGGCAGAACGTCCTTATCCGGATTGACATGTCTATTGGTTTCGAGTTAGGCGGCGATACATCACCTACCCTATACACATATCTTCGGTTCTCGCACGATTCAGGGAGTTCAGATATGGATCATCGCCAATGTGGAAGAAACACGCTCCGAAGATAACAAACTGATAAAGCCGACCGTTCCTGGATATCTTGGACATGGAACACAAACCCTAACACCTATAAAAGGTCACTATGCCTTTAAAAGGTACACACAACCTATGCAAACTACTCACCTTTTGCTCTCAAGCTCTCTGCTCTCACTATTCTCATTGTTGACTTAAGCATTAGAGTGTCCAGCCCGGGTTCAACACCCTAGGTACTCTGATTCCTTGTTTCTTGCAGTTTGGTGGACAATCATTAGCCCGTTTGTCCGAGCTGTCCTTCAACAGGGAGATTGGCAGGTTCACTACAACAGTTCTCCACTCTAGAGACTCCCTTTCTTGCCTTCTCTTTCTTTCTCTCTCTCTCTCTCATACATCTAGGTTGTATTTGGTATCATTGCCACTTCTACTTGCAACATTTTAGGTTGGCCAATACAATTTTTTTAGAAATTGCTTTGTTACATCACATAAGATAACCACTTCCACTTTAAAAATATTTGATTGGGTGTTGGCATTTATAATAGAAATACCAATTTTGATAACTCAAAGCATTTGTGGTAGAAAAAAATATTCTCATAAAATTTGTACCGACCAACCCTAATTTTTTAGATGTTTTCCTTGCTACATTTTTTTTGGGTAAAAATGATTTTCATTAAGGTTGTATTTGGTTTGAAGGAAGAAGTAGGGAAAAGAAGAGAAATGTAGGGAAACCTTTACAAGCCTTATATAGGTTTCCCTACCTTTTCCTCCAAACCAAACATAGCCTAAAAGGAACAACAAAACAATACGAAGAAACTAACACCAGACCCGATCACATCAAAGAAAAAGGAGAAAAAAAGGAAACTATACGAAGAAAACTAACAAGCAAACAATAACAAACACTACAGGGGATGACTAAACCTACTATCCCCACAACTAGATTATGTCACATATAAAACCTCGATCAATCAAGGTGGAGATTGTAACCACACTGAATCCTGGGCTCTAATACCCTTAGGAGCAAGCTCATAAGTAGCCTTATTGCCACTTCTGAGAGTGAAACTAAACCTAGTATCCAAACCAGTCGAATTAAAGATATCATTCATCAAGGACCAAACAACAGTAGAAACATCAAAAGATTTGACAAAAAGAGCTTTAATCACAGTTTGGGAATCACATAAGTTTGAGAACCCAAAGTCCATAGCCAAAAAGCAAGCTTCTCTTACAACAAAAGTTCAGAATATTTTGCAGAAAAGGCATGACAAGGACCATTCTTGGCTACCAAAAATTTCCAATGGAATCTCTGAATACAACTCCAAAATCTCCCATAACCTTGCTTCAAAAAGCTACCATCCACATTTGTTTTGATAGTTCCAGGCTTTGGAAGATGCCACAAAATAGCTCCATCTTGCTTACTAATAGTTTGGATAGATTTTTTTGCATTCTTGTGGGGAAACTCTCCCCACTCCCTTCATCAACCAATCAGCATAAGAGATATTTAACCAAGGATTAGGAGCAATATGATTAAAGATGAAATTATTTCTTGTCTTCCAAATATACCATAACATTATAGCCATATATTCAACTACTGGGAGAAACGTCCCAACTGCAATACTGTTTACACAACATTTCCATAGGAAACTTCTTATTTTCGGAGGGATGTTAAGTGTCCAAATTCTTTTCCAATGATTCTTTGACATACCATTGCTTATATTACCTTCTTTAACTAAATTAGAAGAGTTATAAGCAAACAAAGAGGCTGATTTTACTGAAAATTTGCCTCTAGGATTCGGCAACCACATTAATTTATCATACCCTTGCCATCTAAGCAGTTCCAACCCACAAATTAAATCTGCTACCTCATTATCAAAGAAGTCTAAAATTTTCTCCCCATCCCATCCCCCATTGTTTTGGTCAATTAGATCATTAACCCATTTTAATCATTTGGGTTAACTCTTGGGCCATAGGGTTTGAAGTTGGGCAGCCTTTCAAGCCATGGGTCATCCCATATGCTAATTTTCCCCTGTTTGCTACCTTCCAACAAACACTAAATTGGAGAATATCCCTCCTAGCAAGAATACTCCGGAAGCCTTAAGAGCATTTCTTTGGGGCCTGAATAGACCAAAAACTCCTACCATTTAAAATTTTCTCCTCTAAAATTCTGGCCCACAAGCTATTCATGTTTGTGTAGAATCTCCATGCAAGTTTTTCTAGGAGATCTTTGTTGAACACTTGGGGATCTCTAAATCCTAGCCCACCATTGAATTTATTCTTACATAGGTTTTTCCATCCAACTTAATGGACTTTTTTGTTCATCCTTTGCCCAAAGAAATTTCTTCTGAATTCTAGCTAATTGATCAAAAAGACTCTTTGGTAACAAGAAGGATGACATTGTGTAAGCGGGGATGGCTGATAAGACTGCCTTTACCATCACTTCTCTACCAATCGCTGAAAGAGTAGCTCCCTTCCATCCTTTGGTTTTGCTTGCTTACTCTTTGGATACGGGCTACTACTTTTTGAAGTCTACCATGCAAGTCTGGGCTGAAATAGATTTCAGATTTTGAAAGATTTACCTTTTGACATGATCTTGTTCATGGGTTGGGCTTTGCCTCTTTATAAACAGAAAATCACCATGCCCAAGCCCAGCCCTATATAAAGCCCGATCTCGACTTTGACATGTATCATATTATTGTATATTATTAATAATATATTATATATTATTTTATACATTTAATATATATAATACTTTTATTTCTATTAATTTTACTATTATATAATATATATTATATATTATTAAGACATATATCATATTTATATTATATATTTAATATTATCAGGACAACCCGTCAAGCTATTCGACCCATGAACAAATCTAACTAGGACAATTATTATTCATTTTGATACTAAAAATTTCACCATCAACATGCAACTTTTGCAAGGCAATAGATAGAACTTCAAAGCACAAGGGGAAAAGATAGGGTTACAGAGAATCACCCTGTCTAAGACCTCTTGAGGGATAAAAGGCTTCACTAGGACTTCTATTAACCAATATTTGATATGAGATAGTGGACCAACATTGCATAATCCAGCCCACAAATTTGTCCCCAAAACCTATTTTTTACATTTCTTAAAAAGCCCCATTCAACTCTATCATATGTTTT